GGGTTCACATACTTTTTTCACCTGCACTGTGAATGTTTACATGGTGTGTTCAATAAAAACATGGCAACATTTCATTCTTTGTGTGTTATTAGTTTAAGCAGACTGATTGTCTATTGTTGTGACTTAGATGATGATCAGATCACATTTTATGACCAATTTGTGCAGAAATCCATATCATTCCAAAGGGCTCACATACTTTTTCTTGCAAATGTATTCAAATATCACTAATAAGTTCAGGCTGGGCATATGCAGGACTTTATCACCTCAATACTGTGCATGTAGAGAATTAAAACAAATATTGAAAATGATCTACACATTGTGTTAGCAAATCCAAGCAAATTCCTAAAATATGATGTCACCTGTGGCTTGATATGAAAATTTACTGGTATTTATGTGCAAAATTAAAATAAGATTGTGAATACCTCCTTTTGCGTGATAGATCTTACGGAAAAAAACAGTTGATCTTACTTAATCTAACAAATAGCTACCAAAATCAATGAAAAAAAATTCAAATTTCACTTGAGGGGGGGCTAACCCGTAGTCACGCCCACAAAGTTAAGTAGTGAATACCGCCTCTTGCGTGATAGATCTAACGAAAAAAAGAGTTGATCAAACCTGACCTAATGAATATCTACCAAAATCAATTTAAAAAAATTCAAATTTCACTTGAGGGGGGGCTAACCCGTAGTCACGCCCACAAAGTTAAGTAGGGAATACCGCCTCTTGCGTGATAGATCTAACGAAAAAAACAGTTGATCAAACCTGATCTAACGAATAGCTACCAAAATCAGTAACATTTTGTCCAAATTTCAGTTGAGGGGGGGCCAGCCCCCCCTAATTATATATGCAATATCTCAGTAATTAGACTAGATCAAACAAAAATTTTGCCTGATCAAACCTGATCTAACGTAGACCTATCATAATCAACAACATTTTCTCCAAATTTTTGTTGAGGGGGGGCTGGCTACGGGTTAGCCCCCCCCTGACAATGATTGTTAATATCGCATATTTTAGAGTAGATCTAACGAGAAAAATTGTTGATCAAACCTGATCTAACAAAGATCTAACAAATGGAATAATCTTTTGTTAAAATTCTAAGTATGGGGGGGCTAACCCGGGGGTGGTCAAATCTCTGTTATCTCTAAAAAGGTTTACAATGTCGACATGCAGAGAATTTGTGATATCAAATTCCCCCACCTACTACGTAACCTTCAAACTATGATCTACTCATACATTTGGATTAAATGCCTGCCTGGGTTATCCCACAAACTAGTGACCACGTGCCTTTTTAGAGAAGGTTTGGGAGTCCCAGACATTTGCTTTTATTACTACGCATCATGTTTGGCCCAAATCCTTCAATTTCAAACAAGTTGGGCCCTCTCTTCCTGGGTTGTTTTGGAGAATGTGTTCCCTATTTTCTACAGCACAATCACTCACAAGAGGCTTCAGCAGGGTCTAGAAGGCTATTAACAGTGAAGGAGATAAGAAATTCGAAATTACACAGACTGTGCAAAAACGGAAGTGTAAACATTAGATCTCACTTTACAGGAAGTGTTTAGGAAGACTGTGCACGTCACATGCAGGGAGGTTTGACTAGGGCTGTATAAATAAAGTGAGGCCCCCTTGACCCATTTGTGGAGCAGAAATAAAGAACACTACATACGAATTGTATAAAATTTAGCAGAACATTTTAAAATTGATGCTCGTTAAAAATGTATCCCCATTTTAGGAAGCATTAACTTCCCTATTTATTCGCAAAAGTCAAATAACTTCACACTGGAAAATTACCTTTTACACTCTCGTCGTTTACCTTCACTTACAATCACGCAGCAATGTTTCTATGCCAAACATGTCATCAGGAGTCCCTGATTGTAACTGGTGTAATCTGGACATGACTGAAAAACAATTATAGACAGTGTTATGCACATAAACCAACTGCTGGAACAGGATGTGTTTAATCGGGGTCTCGTGAAGATCCCAAGGTCCTTTTTTGTCCTAAACTGAAATTGGGAGGGGGAGATAGCAACATTTCTGAAACAGAGTAACTTTGTCATGAATTTTTTTATTTATTTTTTTGCTCTTTTACAAACAATGGGCTCATGCATTCAGTAATTTAGCAGAATTATAGTAACTGATTTTAGGTGACTGGTCATGGTCTCAAAACAAATTCTCAGTGAATGTATTCCTAGTGTGACTGGACAGATTTATACACTCTAATGAATGGCTAGATTCTCAAGGGTGAAAAGGCATATTCGCAGCGTCTTGGGTGATTTGCACAGATTCTTGGGGTGAATGGGCCAAATGTTGAGATCTCAAAAATTAACTTTAGAGGTGACGTGCTGCTTAATTACTTATTTAATCATAAACTAAGTGAACTATTTTAACAATCCCCAATCTATGTGAATATCCAGTGTATGTGAGCTAAATAATGTGGGATTAAAAATCAGCCACGTTAATATTTAACCACATAATGGAATGCCAATGGATTGGGAAATCACAAAGTGTACCAGATTTAGCAAACATCAAAAAGCTGTAATGAATTGACCTTCTTCTTTTTTTAATTTTTTTATTTTATTATTAATTCAGTTTTACAGCTATGATAAAGTTTTGTGTGTGTGTGTGTGTGTGTGTGTGTGTGTGTGTGTGTGTGTATATATATATAATTATGTCTCTCTGTGTCCTTGCACACATACTTTATCTTTTCAAAATGCCGGGTGCACTTTAGCCAATGCCATAGATTAACATATAAGTATTGAAAAAGGCTTGCACTCACGGTCTTTTTTTTTTAAATTTTTTTTTAAGGTTCCTTTATTTCATTCCTTTTAAAATACAATCGACGTTTCAGCCAACATCCGTGGCTTTCATCAGGATCAATACAGCACCAATATACATTATAACTAACATGCTTATATAGCTAAACAAACTAATCAATCAATCAATAAATCACTCACCACCTGTATTGCTATCACTCCTCCTCGGCATCTCTCAATTGCATCCTGCGCATGCGCAAGCATATCGCTACCCGGAAGTAGCATACTGACGTAACCATTCGTTGCCAGGGTTACCCGATGCTCATCCAGGCTCCCTGGCAACCTGATAAACAAAGTCAGTCTGTGCGCCGGTCATTTAACTTACATGCAGCCATACAAATCAAACATACCTAATCATGAGGACATTTAAAACTTTAAAAACACAACCATTACTATTAACTAATTAGAGGCCTTTCCTGTACAAGATTCTTCCTTGTTTTCATGATTTCAGACCAAAACTCAAAAAGCTATACCAGATATATATAATTCCAAGTCATTCTAAAAACGTATTCTGCCGATGTCTTTTCGGCCATATTTAAAGTGACATATCCATTCCGTGCACTTAAATGCTTTACTGTGTATTTTATTGTAAAGTGACTGTGTTTCTTATGTACAATAAAGTGCAAAGTGACTCCCATTCTATATTTACATAAGTACAGTAAAAGTACTGTTTGTTTTTTTTCTTAAAGTGATGCTCTTGCTTTTATATACATTAAAGTGCTGAAAAGTGATTTGTGTGTACAATAAAGTGCTTTTTTATCTCTTAAAGTGACACCATTGCTTATTATTTATATATATATATATACATTAAAGTGCTTTACTATATTTTTAAAGTGACACGTTTACTGTTATATGCATGAAAGGGCTAAAAGTGTTGTATATACCTTTTATTAATTGTTCTATTCATACTTAATTTAGCTAACTATCTTCCTCTTTGTATATCCATTCTAGAATATTTTTAAAGTGAAACGGGTGCTCTTATTTACATTAAAGTGCTAAGTAGTGAATTATGTTTCTGTATACATTAAAGTGCATAAAATGATATGTCTCTTTACATAATATATACTTGGATTAAACTGTTATTACTATATGCAGTACCATTCTCCATAGGGAGGTGTGTGTGTGTGTGTGTGTGTGTGTGTGTGTGTATATATATATATATATATATATATATATATATATATATATATATATATATATATATATATATATATATATATATATATATATATATTCTATTCTCCAACACTAGCGTTATGATATAGATATAAATCATATTATACTCCAAGTATAACCCTCCTCTAAGTCTAGTAACCGTGTTTCTAATAAAATTATCTATAGCTCTGAGGGGCCAGTTTATTCCCGTGAAGATTCTCATATAAATGGATGGTACGATTTCATTTTGGGTGCAACTGTATCCAAAATGTTTCTCGTCTCAATAATGCATTGCCTCTATCTCCTCCCCTTCTGTGTGTGTGTGTGTGTGTGTGTGTATATGTATATGTATATATATTTTGCAAGCTTTGTTGCACATATTTCACCATCGGTTTATCACTCCATATTAGGTAAGTAGGAAATCCAGACCTGTGTAGGTTGACATGTTTATGGCTATTCACTACAGATCAAATTTTTGTGATTTCAAGTTTAAGGTCAAATTAGTTTAATTTAAATGAAAAGGAGCACTCCAGACCCCTAATGACTTTAGCTTGCTGAAAAGCTCTATGTTTGAAGAGTGTATTATATTTTAAAAAAAATTTCATTTAGCAAAAAGTGCAAATTTCAATAGAAATTGACTTTTTTTTTTAAATTAACCTGGTTACACCCCCTTGGATTTCAATCAGACAATAGGTCTTGTTACTTCCTGGTTTGGTTAGCTCATTGGAGCTAAACTCAAAAGGCATCGATTTCCCTAGAGCACCTGACTTACAAAGACTTCTCATTGAACTGCACAGGGAAGTCTGTGATTGGACAACCACAGACATTCTGGGCGGGGTCAGAAGGATACCACTTACAAAGGCAGCAGAAGAGAACTGCAGGTTTTGCAAGCTGACTTTAGATATAACTCCAATGACAAAAATGCATAATTAAAAGCATAGGCCTGCACAGCCTATTGCATTTGGGTGTGCAACCTAAAGCACAAGCCGCGTATATGTATGCTGTGTCTGTGTGTGTTGTGTGAGGGTTCTGGTAGTGTGCTATGTGGGTGTTTCTGTGTGTGTGTGTGTGTGTGCGCGCTTGTGAAGGTGCTGTTTGTGTGTGAGGGTACTGGTAGTGTGCTGTGTGTGTGTGAGGGTGCTGTATGTGGGTGGGTGCTGTGTGTGGGTGATGTGTGTTCTGTTTGTGTGGTGTATGTGTGAGGATGTTGTGTGGGTGATGTATGTGTGCTGTGTGTGTGTGTGTGTGTGTGTGTGTGTGTGCTGTTTGGGTGATTTGTGGGGGTGGAGGTGGGGGCAGATTAATTAGTAAAGATCCCTCCTCCCTTCTTACCTTATGTAGGGAGGGGGGACCGTGCTGCTGCCTTCCCTGGTGGTCTAGTGGAGGTGGGGGCAGACTGCTTAATATTCCCCCCTCCCTTGTTACCTTATGCCGGGGAGGGGGATCCTTTCTGCCTTCCCTGGTGGTGAGAGTGAACTCTAGCCTGCGGGGCTAGAGTTCACTCTTGCGAGATCTGAGTGTTGCCGCGGTAACCGCGGCAACGCTCAGATCTCGCAAGAGGAACCCGGCGGAGCTGCTGGCAAGAGCTCCCCGGGTCCTCTCCTGCCTCCCTCCCAGCCTGTGGGTCGGTGGGGAGGGAGGCTGAGAGCAGAGCCGGCGCTCAGATAGCGCCGGCTCTGCATGAGCCGACAGAGGGGATCCTGAGATCTCCCCTGTCGGTCTCAATACATAGACGTGCCGTGGGGATTAGGGTGTGCCCAGGCACATCCAGCACACCCTGTGCGCACGCCTATGATTAAATGCATGTAAGTTTCTTTTGGGGTATGTTTACTAAACATGGTTTTATATTTATCTTGTATTTGGGCAGTGGAATGTCCCCTTAAGTAATTTTGAATTCCCAACAATTTGCACTTTATTGCAGAACCCTCTTAATCTAAAGGGCTTTGTGGATGCTGTAGGATTGGCACTGAGGGTAAATGAATACTTTGGGCAGATTTACCATGACCTCGTGACACTTAGTCTGCTTATGGGAAGTCCATCTCTGGGTAATGCAACCGAATTAAGTGGATTTTTGTAGAGTACATAGGCGTGCGCAGCCTATTGCATTAGGGTGTGCACCCTAAAGCACAAGCACACTTTTGTTTCTGCTTATGTAGCCCTAGCCACACGTCACCTGGCTGTGACTGACACAACCTGCATGAAAACAAAATGGTATGATTTTCAATCAGAGTTTAAAGTTACTTTAGAAGTTTTTATGTTGTACTCTGTAAATTGAACATTAATCACTCACGAGAAGCCCATGCAGTCTCTACAGGGCTATGAACAGTGCAGAAGATAAGAAATGCGAAATTTAACACAATGGAATAAAGGAAATGTAAACATTAGATCTCACTATGCAGGAAGTGTTTGGGAAAGCTGTGTAAATCACAATCAGCAAGGTGTGACTAGGGCTGTATAAACTAAGTGATTTGCCTCCTAAATGGCAGAGAATTTAGCAGTGAGACTGCAGGGGACATGATATATACACCATAACCCCTTCATTAAGCGAAAGTTGTTTTGATAACTATAGTTCCCCTTTTAATAAGGAGCGATATTTCATGCAGTTTTTTCAATCTGGCTCAGAATGTCCTGCTATACAGCCACTGACTGGCAAAATGTCCTACTATCGGAAATTATGTGAAGATTCAGGTTTTCTGACATTAATGATCTTTAAGGGGTTTGGCATTCGCTGATCACATTGTTGATAAAATTGTCCCCAGTAATAAACTGATATAATCGCTGTGGATTGTTTGCTAACAGCATTGCAATACTTGGCAGATAAACTCACCGGGATGCTTTGTGTATGAATAATGTGAAGTATACTATTTATTAAACATGTAATACGGTGCTGGACACGGCTCCGTCAGGGCAAGAAATAAAACACACACCGCTATTTACTAAACTGTCAGAAATTTAAAGTGAATGCAAAGCAAATTTCAGAGAGTCTCTGTCACCTTTTTAGGTCTCTGCATATTTTGCACAGACACCCAATGGGGACATCACTGCTTGGGGTGCGGTGAGCCACGGATGCTGGGGAAGGTAAGTCCCTCTCAGCCATCGCCTTCTCCATCCAGAGGGATCCTCTTCAGCGACTGGTGATTAATCTTCCAGGATCTCACGTCCGTGCTGCACATGCACAAGAGAACAGCACTGATCTCTATGGAGGATCCTGCGAGTGTTTTGGGGCAGTCCAGCTCCCTTGGGGTGAGATATGTGTCTTCCCCTCCCCCCCCCCCATATTAAGCACTTTATTTCATAAATAATTTTTGGTGCTACATTTTAAATGGTTAATATAGAGAGGAATTAATAGATTTACTCCGTATTGTTACTTCCTTTTTGACGGAGTGCATTACTGTGAGATTTTGTCCGTAGCTCCGCCTTTTGGGAAATTCCAACACTGTCAATGTGAATATTTCTTACAGATGTTATGTTTATGAAATACAATTTTTAAAAAAAAATTTATAGAGTTAATGGGCTGACAGTGCCTCTTTAACCCCCAAAGCCGAGTTGGGAAAATTCTCCAAATCCACTCTGCTTTTAGTTTAGCTATTTTTGATTGTCTTCCATTACAGGGTTAAAATGACAGGACCACTTAATTTCATTTTCCTTTAACGGCAACTCGGCACTACCACTTATCAATGATGCTCCACTTCAGATCAATGTAGAACTTGTTATGGGAAATTGGGTCCAAGTTTAATGAGTTAATGAGTGCTGTCAACCACAACAGTAGTCAGATGTCCGTTAACTTTGCTTTTTTAACTAAAGAGATATTGGTGTCGTAAAAAACGAACTGTGAGAAAACAAAGTGAGTTAATCATTATCGTTGTATGTAGCGCACTAAGATCTATCTAATCATTATCATTACAAGAGCTGCACTAACCAGCTGTAAGGCTGCTCGATAAGCTTTCCTAAGCCCTAAATTGTCCATAACTATGTGAGCTGTCATCCACTGGATGTTATAATTCATGCAGCAAACTGTGGCTAACACAGGTCTCTGTTACAGAACCTCAAACCTCTGGCCGTCTACACTAGAAACACCCGAAATTATACCTAGATGTAAAAAATAGTATACACCCCTCCTTGTACTTCGCTACTAATGGCAAGGGTGAAGGATCATCCTGAGAATTTACAAAATAAACAGTAAAATGTATTTTATTTTAATTAGGCGGCACAGTTAAAGGGATACTATAGTCACCTGAAGAACTTTAGCTTAATGAAGCAGTTTTGGTGTATAGAACATGCCCCTGCAGCCTCACTGCTCAATCCTCTGCCATTTAGGAGTTAAATCCTTTGTTTATGAACCCTAGTCACACCTCCCTGCATGTGACTTGCACAGCCTTCCATAAACACTTCCTGTAAAGAGAGCCCTATTTAGGCTTTCTTTATTTCAAGTTCTGTTTAATTAAGATTTTCTTATCCCCTGCTATGTTAATAGCTTACTAGACCCTGCAAGAGCCTCCTGTATGTGATTAAAGTTCAATTTAGAGATTGAGAC